ACCAAAGAGTATGATCCTTGCAGTTACGAAAGCTTCAAATCTACACAATAATATCGACGTTATTGAGCTGACCCACCCACGGGTGCTCTGATCAAGAAAGGGAGCAATGGAAAAGGAATCGCAATCAACTTGAACTCTAACCCCGCTCTCTGACGTCAACCCAGCCAGTGACGTCATGTCATCAAGGCAGCCACGCCCATCACAACACATGGGCCGCGTCACCATAATTTATTCAGCTCCTCCGCCGCTCATTGGGGGAGGGTATTGTATCCCGCAAGTGACGTCATGTCACCTGCTGCCGCGTGACGTCACGAGGTACCAGGAAGCTGCAGCTCTGCGCGCACACTCACGGAGATCCGAGGTGAGAAGTTCACATGGTGGTTGTTGTTGTTGTTGTGGTGGTTGTTGTTGTTGTGGTGGTGGTGGTTGTTGTGGTGGTGGTGGTTGTTGTTGTCGTGGTGGTTGTTGTCGTGGTGGTTGTTGTTGTTGTGGTGGTTGTTGTTGTGGTGGTGGTTGTTGTTGTGGTGGTGGTTGTTGTTGTCGTGGTGGTGGTTGTTGTCGAGGTGGTGGTTGTTGTGGTTGTTGTTGTTGTCGTGGTGGTTGTTGTTGTTTACCCAGGTAGACCCTCGCTCCTCTCTCTCGTAGGGATATCAATTGAGTATCAGCGAGTATGGAATCGATGTCCAGGTTGGAACATTACAACGCGGGGCCTTGTAATGTTCCTCCTGATTTCATTTGCTTTATTTCTCTGCTTAAGTTTAATTTGTCTTCACCTGGCTCACTACTTAGAAACTTTATTTTTATTTTAAATATTTCTAGAGTTTTTATATATTTTATCAGGCCAATCCCACTTGAGCTAAACCGTTTTTTTTAGAAGCGACCTGCCCACAACAAAGTGGCTTATCAACGTGTGGAAATGGATATCGGTCAAATACTTTAAACGCGTGGTGATGTTGACTAAATATGGAGGGAAAAACCGGAGGACCCGAGGAAAAATCCACGCAAACATGCAGAGAGACACGCAAACTCCAAATGTACATCCATAATCCAGGTTTGTTTGGGTTAGATCGCCTTAAATATATAAATGTGTCGTTAAACCCCCCAGACCCGACACAGCCAACTAGTAAGGTTTGTCACGTAAACAAAACGTGCCAATTCGTCACTAGTACAGCACACCGGTTGTGTATTGGAGAGCCAAGCCACAACATTTACAATCCGAGTACGTTTTGCCAGTAATTACAACCAGCTTCATTAGGCGACAGCCAAATCTTGTGGCTTGGCTCTGTGAGAATATTAATCAGGTCGCTGGGTTCATAGCGCAGCACGCGAACCATTTCACTACCGCTCCCAAATCACGCACAACATCATCTGAAGTACAGTATAGTATTTATTCAGTAATAACTAAGTTACCCGGCTTAGCTCAGGTCTCAATAATCTTGCCATGCTGGCTTTATTATAATTATTGAATTCTGCCAATGAAGTCTAAATGTGTGTATATTGTCACGGTTTTTTGGTTGTGTTATACAATCGCAGGGCTTGTTTGTTTCATAATGAGGACAGCTTTTAAATTCGTTACCCACGGAGAGCTTCAGGATAGACAATGTTGGATATTTTGCCATCTGGTGGGTTTAATCGAATGAAGCTTGCGTACATGTCGACAGCAAATTGGCAGAAGAGCTCTGCATCTCAAGAATAGATTGAAGCTGCTGTTTCGCACTATGACCCTGAAGGCAAAGAAGTCCATGTCGGAAATCTTCTTTTGTGTTGGCAAGCCTGCTGCTGGGTCAGCTTGGCGAAGTAGGAAATGTTAGCCATCATCACCTGGCTAGAACATCCGTGGACATTGAAGATCATCATTTGATCGGTGCGCTTCAATTCTGTGCAGGGTATTGTTTCTCAGTTACAAGACGATTCCTCGAGTGCCATGTTGCTCAGCCGTCAGAATGACAGCTACTTCAGATGTTGTGAGTGCATTTAAGCAGGTGCAGCCCCAGGCTGACCCGGGCTGCACCTGTTTCCTTTCCAAATTAGGTGGTGGTTTACTCGTGCAACCGAGTGTTGCGCAAGCGCACGTGTTTGTCCTCGGTTGCACTCGGCCTACAGTGTGCGCCACGTGTTTAACCATATATTTATACTCTTTTATTGTCTTGGAATATTTTTTGTATACGGTTTCTCAATGTTTATTTCAATTTTCTTTGGGTCTTTTGATAAAGTCACAGATGGTTCAAAGAAAATAACAAGGACCCAATCAAAACCATCACCTTGCCATACATAGCAGGAGTCACCAATAGGATTTCAAAAAATCTAAATCATGAACAAACAAGATCCAGGTTCGATTTAACACAGTACATAAAATTTGTGATCTGATCACTTCTGTGAAGGATGTGATCCCTGACATGCAATACCCTGGCGTCTACAAACTAAGCTGTGTCTGCAGCAGTATCTATATTGGGGAAACTAAGCGACATGTCTCGGACCGTGTTCGTAAACATAAGGCAGATCTGAAACACGGTAGGACCAATACCTCGACCGTGGCTGATCATTGTTTTAATGCTGTGGGGTCACGTGAAATGTTTTTCTCTAAGACGAAGATACTTTGCAAACCCATTGGTTATCAACAAAGATTTGTTCATGAAGCCATCCATATATACAGACACAGATACATTTTTAACCGAGAAGATGGGTACAAACTTAACAATCATTGGAAGGACGTTATCAACCAGTTTAAGTCATAACTGGCTGTGATGTTCCCTTCCTGCCACCTTCTGATGTAAATTTTTAATTTTTTCCCGTGGCTTTGGCTCTCCGATTTTACATTAACAGGTTGAATTTCTCGTGCCAACAGGGCCACCTACGGACACCGACCTCTACGTCACGGTGGCTCTGCGATCTAACATTAGCATGCTAATCTCTCACATTAACATAGCCACCCGCGCACTCGTTGCGAATGCCGCTCTCCAATCTTACATTAACATGCTAATTTCTCACCTAAACATCACTAGCCCCGCCAACTTCGTTTATGACCCTAGGACTACACCATATAAAAGTCTTCGTTCAGCAGCTTTCCTCCTAATGACGATCACTTGTGTTGTGATCGAAACGTCGTAGTTTTTTGTTATTTTCCTTGAACTATCTACGTGACTTTACTGAAAGACCCAAAGAATATGAAAGCTTGAAGTCAAGATGTATTTCAATTGTTTAGTTTATAGTTTATTTGGAATACAGTACAGTACTTATTTCAATTGTGATGTAAATTTTAGTTGCCCTTTACCTAATGCGATTACTTAGGTAAGGCTTAAGTATTGAATATCGCGCTTTTAGCTTTTGCGCGGCACTTTCTAAGAACGTAACCTCCGCGATATTAAAGGGCCTGCTGTATTTTCTGTCCATCCACTACAGCAGAGGAGTACGGATTTTTAGCAGAAACTATATCTCTGCTTTCTTTATATAATTGAGGCCTATAGTACCATAAATAGGCTTGGGGCTTTGGGTTGGTCTTTTGTTTTCGATGTCTCTGCTCATATTCGTTGAGGATTTTCATGATTTTGGGCAGGCCTGTCTAAAGCTGCGTGACCAGGAGTCAGAGCCATTTCCTATTCAACTTGGCTTGTGGCAGAAATTCACTCTGGCCCCATGCATTACATTACATAGCATTTCGATTTAAAGCTTTCGTGACTGCAGGGATTCATCTTCTTGGTTCTTTCGGAAAAGGAAGTAATAAAATAATAAAAATAAAACATAATAAAATATTTCTCATGACGTTTCGGCCACAACGCAAGCAGCCGTCCTCTGGTGGAGAACAGGTCCGTCAAGTAGACAGAGTCTGAATGTCACGCTCCAGGCTTGGAGCGACTATTTATGCCAGGATAGAGGAGCGAAGAGCGTCTTGACAAAATAATTTGCATATCAAGAGGAATTTAGCATATTTATGGGAAATGCAGATATGCGATTAGCACTACTTGTGAAATGCGTAGGAGGTTTGGCCAAGGTCTAGTCTGTCTGAGACCATCTCCCTGCCATACTGGCATCGCACCTGCCTCTTACGCTTCATCCTGCGGATGGTGGGCGCACAGGACAGCGCCACGAAGCCATTCGAGGCTGGGCCCCAATGGGTTACGTGAGTCACCTAGCCACCAGGTGCTTGTTGGTGAACACCACCCCAGACCTTGTTCCAGGGGTGATATCAATAGAGAATGTATGTAAGGATGCCCCCCAATAGACTCCCCCTCGCACTCTACCAGGCACATCCCACTGGGGGATGACCCCGTGGCCGGTCCAGGACAAGCAGATTTAGAAACTAACGAAGCTGTGATTCTTCTTAGTCACAGATATTACTCCTTTCTCTATGGATCCAAAATATTAACGTATTTTAAGGACCGTCTGTGCTGGCTTATACATTTAAGGCTGGCCTGCCTATGTTCCCTCCTCTATTGAACCAGGCGTGATTGTATTAGAACCTTACAGACCCCTAAAATATTAGTACAGAATATAATCAGTGAGTCTCTTTGGCAGACGAGGCTGCATTGGTTGGGTCATCATTCCTGCATAACCAGACAACGCATGTTCAAGCAGCTTCTGTTAGTCCAGATATTAGGGTCTAAACAGGCATGGCATTTACATCATGGGATCTCCTTTTCCAGTACCAAAATATGATAATAGGTTTTTCCCCTTTTTTCCTGCAACAAAACAGGTGTTAAGATGTTAAAACACCAAACTGAAACCTTCTACAAGGAATCATGTCTACATTAACCACAATGCTTATGGTCAGAATGCAAAAAAAAACACTCTGAAATAGATGCATTGTCCTTGAAACTGATTGGTCCACACCGTTTGAGATGAGGCTTAAAAGAAAGCTGTCTCTGGTGTGGACCAATCAGTTTCAAGGACAATACATATATTATCAGAGTATGTTTTTTTTGTTTGCATTCTCACCACAAGCATTGTGGTTAATGTAGACATGATTCCCTGTTAAAGGTTTCAGTTTGGTGTTTTAAGATTTTTTTGCCAGAAAAAAGGGAAAAACCTATTATCAGGCATGGCATTGGCTCGAGAAGAGATTGGAGGATGTGGAGGTGATCAGACCTGCTGATGACTGGTACCAGGAGTGTCAAGATCGGCCTCTGTGGAGGAAGCTGGTGACATGCGGCAGGGCAGTTGGAGGTATTTGCTTTGCAACAACAATGAGGTCAGAGGAGCGATGCTCACATGAATGGGTGGAATGCTGGGTGCCTAAAACGCAGCAAGACAGCGGGGAGCACAGCTGGTGCATCTGTAGTGTTGTAAAGGACGGACATCTAAACTTCTTTATGGCATAATCAACGTTTTTGGGTTTAGATCGCGTTATTTATAAATGTGTCGTAACCCTCCACCACCCGACACGGCCAATCAGTTAAAAAGTGTCACGTTGACAAAAGACAAATAGTTCACTGCTTTAGCCCACCGGTGTGTTGAAGCGTGAAACCACAACATTTACAATTTGAGTACGACGTTTCGCTGGTAATTGCATCCAGCATCATCGGGCAATTCACCATTCTGGTGAATTCACCATTCTGGCGAATTGCCTGATGATGCTGGATGCAATTACCAGCGAAACGTCGTACTCAAATTGTAAATGGTGTGGTTTCACGCTTCAACACACCGGTGGGCTAAAGCAGTGAACTATTTGTCTTTTGTCAACGTGACACTTTTTTACTGATTGGCCGTGTCGGGTGGTGGAGGGTTACGACACATTTATAAATAACGCGATCTAAACCCAAAAACGTTGATTATGAATAATATTGGTCGCGAAAGCCTACGTGTTAAACTTCTTTATGGCACACACTGTTTATTATCTTAATACACAGTCCCTATCACAACAAGGGGGTATATGGTCCCCTCACCCGTTACCCTGAGGAGACACAGCCTCCCGACCTTGCAGGCTATCTAATCTCTCTGCTATCCCAGCGTCCTCTGGCTGGACCTAGGGGATCTCTCCCCGACCACTGGTTACACTGAGCCCTAGCCCTGATAAGGGCTGGAGGGCTTGGTCCAGGGTCCTAGATGTCTTCGGCCGACTTGGGTCTTCGTGTAGCAGAACTGACCAAGAGCTCTCAGCGCTCTGGCTTTTATACCTGTTCGTGGCCGGGTTGTCCAATCCCCGGCCACCTTGTGGGACCCTCCGATTGGTCCTTCCCAATGTGAAATGTATGTATGTAAGAGTTTGTTTTTGTAGGGAGTGGTGGCGCAGTTATCTTACTGCATTATGAACTCAGCGTTAATTGTGTGTTGACCGACTCTCTGTGTTGTATTACATCACATTTCGATATTTTGCGAGGTTATTTAATTTTAGTGTGCCTTTCTCCTAATTTACAAGCTTGCGTGCCGTGCCACGTCGTCATCTTACTAGAGCAGCAGCAGCACTTTGCCACTCATTGATATGCTAATTTTCTCTGCCCCCTCCCTCTCTCCGTCCCTGCCCCCCTCTCTATATTTAAGGGACCGTCACAGAAACGACCCCTCTCTTTGTGCCGATATGTGTCCTCTCTCTGTGTGTCCTTGTGATGTCTGTCTGCTTGTATGTCTGTCTATAGTTTTCTAGTTAGATTTTTGTTGCTATTTCTTTTTTGCCTGATGATGATTGCTTGTGTTGCAATCGAAACGTCGTAATATGCTTTTATTTTAATTTATTATTTTATCTTTAGACGTGACTTAACCGAAAGAACCAAAGAATAATTCCTGCAGTCACGAAAGCTCCATAATTAAGATTCAGCAAACATGATTGATAAGTGGTATCTGCTATGTTGATTGATCCTTAATTATTTGGTGATGTGAGAAAGCATTAATACTGAGTAGATGAAGGCAGCCAGGCATGTTTTTGGACACACCACCACCTTTTTACCATGCCAGTGTGTGACAGTGTCAAGTTTATATTTGCTGTAAAGTATATTAACTCTTTTGAACACGGAGGTTAAATCAAAACAATAATTTATTTTAGTTTTTCTCTGGAACTTTTTAAACGAATGGAAACAGTCAGGAAATTAACACAGCACATATGCAGCTGAGGTTAGGTCTGTTCATCCGAGCATTCAATTCTAGGGTGTCCAAGCATATTGGTGACCATTTGTCCTGTCATTGTGTGCCTTAACAGACCGTGTGATGAATTGGGAAATCTGTTTCACTATATCATGAAAATATGAATAAGTATAGACGTGTATGTCATGTTAGACTGTGTACGTATGCATTCCTCTGTCCCTCCATACTGACATAGATGGTGTGGATATTTTTTTTCTGTCTGCAGCTGACGCTTCCTCTGACACTTCCTCTTCAGAATTGGTGTGATGGAGCGAAGGCACTCAGCACAGCTCTGTACAAAAAGGCAACAATGTGACCAGTATGCAAACAGCACGGATCGTACTGGAAACTTGACACAGCACCAAAGAACACACACAGGAGAGAAACCTTTCAAGTGCACTGTGTGTGAGAACACATTTGCACATCCATCACTTCTTCAGAGGCACCAGAGAACACACACGGGAGAGAAACCCTTCAAGTGCACTGTGTGTGAGAAGGCATTTGCACGGTCATCAGTTCTTCAGAGGCACCAGAGAACACACACAGGAGAGAAACCCTTCAGGTGCACTGTGTGTGATATGGCGTTCGCACATTCATCACATATTCAAAGACACCAGAGAACACACACAGGAGAGAAACCCTTCAGGTGCACTGTGTGTGATAAGGTGTTTGCACAGTCACCACATCTTCAAAGACACCAGAGAATACACACAGGTGAGAAACCCTTCAGGTGCACTGTGTGTGAGAAGGCATTTGCAGACTCATCAGTTCTTCGGAGCCACCAGAGAACACATAGGCATCCGGAGATTCCTAAGGAGGGGAGTTTGAAATCGACTTGTGAAAGCCAAAGTGCTGCAATTAGCCCTTCCCTTATGAAACAAGATCCAGACGAAAATCCCAGCTTTGACACTTGGAAAGGTATCAAGATGAAATATGAAGACGCGAAGGTGAAGTGTGAAAAAGTGACAGTAAAGAGCAAAGAAGTGAAGGTAAACTGTGAAGATGAAGATTCAGCTCGAAAATCAGACCTTCACATCGATGGAGGCAACGTGAAGCAGGAGGAGAATTCTGATTCTGAGGCAGAGCGAGGCAACTCCCCGAAGTTTGTAGAAGTGGAGGTGTGGGTGGACTTCTTAGACAATACAAAGTCAAATGGAGACCCTGTGGATGTGTAAGCTTGACACAATGAACTTCCAATAGGTTCATCTTTGTCACAGGCCTTTAATGAAAATAATGTGAAGATGAACACTCAATTCCTAGGTTCAACCTGCAGCGTAAGAGCGGCGATTATTTGTAGATCTGTCGGTTGGGTAGATGTCTAACCAGAAACGAGAGCCAATAAGCTCCCAAGCCTTCACTATGTTATAATAATATTTGCATTCATATGGTGCTTGCTTAATTGGCCATAATAGAGGTTTTTTGGATTAGATCGCGTAAATATCAATGTTTCGTTAAACTCGCCACTACCCAATTGGTTCTGTGCTAGTATAGTGTAATAGTGCAGACTATTGTCCAGCAACGGCAACTGCGGTGGACGAACAGTACACACGCCGGTGAGCATATACATAGGGTGTTGGCAGGGTGGAGGAACTGTGGCAAGGGTCACGGAAGCCCCCATCTGGAAGCCCCTAGAATCTGCTAGTGGGTTTGAGAAGGGAGGCGCGGCCAGGGCAGAGCCAGGCCGCGCTGGGTAGCATAAAAGCAGCTGAGAGCGGGAGCTCAGGGTTGCCGGTTCTGGGAGTGGGCTCGTCTCGTCGTCGCTGTCATCTTCGCCGCCTTTGTTGCTGCCGTCTTTGCTAGATTTTGCGTTGCCGGATAGTTGTTGGCTGTCTCGGTCAGCGCCATCGGTGTTAGCCGGTCACGGTTGTGTTAAGGCTAGGCTAGACAACTATGAAGAGTGCGATGGTCAACCTGTGAAGGTGTTAATAAAGAAGGTGCCCCCTGAGAAACCTTGTTTTCAGCTACAATAACACTACAACTGGTGTCAGGAGTGGGGTGAAGAAAGAACCCACCTATAGTGTCAGAGGACTGGAACGGTGAAATATTCATCCTCCCGGCAGCCCCGGGACTTCGGTTACAAAGCCCAATGGTAGAGAGAGAGCGGCTGCGGATCGGCGGGACAGCGGTTGTGGATCGGCGGGAGAGCAGCTGTGCATCAGTGGGAAAGCGGCTGCGGATCAGCAGGAGAGCGGCTGCACATCAGTGGGAGAGCGGCCGCGGATCGGCGGGAGAGCGGCGGCGAATCCGTGAGAGAGGAGCCCCATCCTCCGCGGTCACGCGCCGAGCACGCGTCATAGCCGAGGACCGTCATGTTGAGGGGAGCGTAGGATGGTGCGTGAGGCGCGTCGTGGCTAGCGGCACGGAAAGAAGTCACAAGGGGACCCTGGCGGCGGTCCCGTCAATGTGGGAGCGGAGGAGCCTGGACTGGGGACCGCGCATGTGGTGGGCACCATTTTGCCCATGGAGGGCCTGGCATGGCTGGTGGGGGCTATTTTTCGAAGAGCGTGGGACAGCGCTGGAGGGGCACCGGAGTCGATGGCACTGCAAGGGGTAATTTTTGGCCTACCGCGCGATGCCCGCACGAGGTTTCGCCAGCGGAAGCGAGGGGAGGCTGAGATGCCCTTTGCTTTCCGGGAGGCGCTGCTGGCGCTGGGACGGAAAGCGTACCCCCAGATGGGTGAGACGGCGCTCGACTCCTTGGCAACGGAAGGGTTGTTGGCGCTGGCGCGGGAGTCGGGGATCGTCCTGCCCTTCGCTGAAGGCATGGGGATCATGTCCTTGAAGGTGGCCCAGGAAATTCAGGTTCACAAGACCTGCCAGCATTGGCCCAAAGTGGAGGCTTGGCCATGGCAGGAGGAAGACATGGTGGCTGTGGTGTGTAGCCGGGGGATTCACGGGAGAAGGCCCTCGCAGGTGGGTTGGTAACCACGGGGCAGCCCCCTCTGCCCTGGGGTCCCACGGCCGAGTGTTTCAGGTGTGGTTGGCCGGGCCACATCGCCATAGCATGCTGGGGTGTCAGCAGGGCGCCGGCAGCGCCACCGATGCCCTCCAACCCGCCAGCAACGTCTTCCCAAGCTCCACCGGATCCGAGTCTCTGATGCTTTCTGAGACGGGCGTGTGCAAAGTGTCAGGGGCTGGATCTGATTAGATGCTACTGTGGAATTCAGGAGGGGCCGCGCCCTTTAGGCTATTGTTTTTTTTGTTCCCATTATTCGGAATCCCAAGGAATGCAAGACCCTGCCAAGGCAGGGTTGACCAGTGTCAAGGACCGGCTCACATTAGCTATGTTCCAGTAAATACAGACTCTACCTTGTAAGGTGGGATTCGGAGGGGTTGTGTATGTTGTTTGGGTTGCGTATGTTGTTTCGGTTGTGTTATCGGTTCGCGGTGTCGGGGGGTGGTGTCGCGGTTGTGCGGTCCCCGACGGGGTTCTTGCTCACACCGCGGTTGCGCTGCGTGTTGTCAGTTTGCGGGGGGTGCCGCTGGTTGTCCGTTTTTGTTGACGGTCTGCGGGGGGTACCGGGGTTCTTCTATGTGGTTACGGTTCACGTGAGAAGCTGCGGTTGCACTCGATGGGAAGTATTGCAACCAAGGTTTTTTTTGTGTCGGTGGTGTTACTCGGGGTTGGGGGTTGCTCTGCCTATCCACCGGTTGCAGTTGCTGGATGTCAGCCAACTGTTGTCCAGCAACGGCAACTGGGGTTTAAAAACAGTACACGCCGGCGAGCATATACACGGGTGTATCGGAAAGGGCGGAGGAACTGGGCAAGGGTCAGGGAAGACCATATCTGGAGCCCCTGGAATCTGCTCGTGGGTTCGAGAAGAAAGGCGCGACGAGGGCGGAGCCAGGCCATGCTGGGTAGCATAAAAGGAGCTGAGAGTGGGAGCTCAGGGATGCCGGTTCTGAGAGTGGGCTCTTCTCGTTGTCACTGTCATCTTCGTCGCTTTTGTCGCTGCCGTCTTTGCTAGATATTGCGCGGCCGGAGAGTTGTTGGCTGTCTCGGTCAGCGCCATCGGTGTTATTCAGTCAGGGTTGTGTTTAGGCTAGGCTAGATAACTATGGATAGAGCGATGGCGAACCTGTGAAGGTGTTAATAAAGAAGGTGCCCCCTGAGAAACCGTGTCTCCTGCTCCGATGACGACACTAGTAACAAATTGGCATGTTCTGTTTACATGTCACACCTTCCTAATTGGCTGTGCCGGGTGGTGGCGGGTTTAATGATGCATTTGTTTTACGCGATCTAACCCAAAAAACCTCTTATGGATGATATTGGTCGCGGAAGCCGACGTGTTAAACTTGCTTAATTGCCTCAGCAATTCGGAGTTTTCTATCATATCTCATCACAAACACTTGAAGAGCACCCCACGTGGCAGCTGCCTCTGTATGGCATAAGATGGCCCTGCACCAGCCTGCATGTGGGCATGAGTCTGTCAGTAGCGGGCGATAATTGGCATGTAATCTCCGTTACGTTTTTTCTGGATAATATTTGGAATTACCCAAATTTTGACAATGACAGCAACATGCAATGACCTATGCGTTTTGAATGACACAATAGTATGTTTTACATCCACTGTTCAGCAGACGGTGCATATTTTGGTTAATGTTACTGGAGTAGCCAGAGGTGCCTATCGGATTTGTACCTTAAACCTCTGCAATAAAAAGAATGCGCTACCACTTGGCTTCCCTCAATCTAAGTGTAGGCATGCCAGCCTGAATGTTTCTAACCGATGCAGATGTTCCATTTAGAGGGTCCACGTTTCACATGCCTGTAGAAGGAAGGACATGACTGGTCGAGAAGACCCGACGCTCCGTACGGAGCGATTGACCAGGTAGCTTCCACGCAGCAATGCGCAGCTGATGAAAAGATAATGCGGCCCGACTGATTCGGACCATCCACAGTGTGTACACATACGCAGTGTATAAATTGTATAAATAAGGTGTACACACAGTCTGCTCATACACGGTGTATACATAGTAACAAGAACAATAACCACCATTTTCCACTAAGTGGCGGTGATGTCACCACGGCGCTTGTACCAGGCTATGTGCACGTTAAGGTCACGTGAAGTGTCAAACGCCCGCCAGCAGGAGTTCACGGAGCAGACCCAGGTGCCATGGGTCGACTGACTGAGATGACTTTGTCCCCGACTGTGCCAACACTGTATGCAGTTTAACACGTAGGCTTTTGTGTCCAATATCATCCATTATAGAGGTTTGTGGGTTACATCACATAAATATAGAAATGTGTTGTTAAACCCGCCGCCACCCGACAGCCAACGAGTAAGGGTTGTCACATTAACAGAACATGCCAATTGGTCACAAGTACAGCACACCGGTGTGTTGGAGAGCCAAGCCACAACATTTACAATCTGAGTACGACGTTTCGCCAGTAATTAGAACTAGCTTCATCAGGCGACAGACAGATTTGTGAAGTCTTTTATTTCGTTACTTATATAGAGGCGTAGATGTGTTGACCACCCTTCTGCAGTCTTGCACAATGTGGGGGGGATTATTGAGGCAATGTACATTATGCATGTGCTGCATTATGCGAGTACTTTGAACGTATTCTTCCTGTCTCTTGTGTTTTTAAAATAGCCCTACCAATGGTAATCCCTATGGAAGTACGCTGCCCTTTGTAGGCATGCATTTAAATAATGATCGAGAAGAAACCTGATGGCTTGTTGGGACATTCTACCTACAGGAAAGCCACCCACACAGATTCTTATCTAAAGCCTGATTCCCACCACCATCCAGCCCAGAAGAACTCCCTCATTAAAACACTACACCATAGGGCCCATCTCCGATCAGCAACACATAGCCAGTGAGCTGGAGCACGTATACCAAGCCCTCAAGATGAATACATATTCAAACAGCACAATCTGCAAAGCTGAATACCCAACCATGGGGAGAGAACCATCTGAGGACCCAATCAAAACCATCACTTTGCCATACATAGCAGGTGTTACAAAAAAGATTTCCAAAGTCTTGAACAAACACAAGATCCAGGTTCGATTCAACACAGTACACAAAATCCATGATTTTATCTCATCTGTGAAGGATGTCATTCCTGACATGCAATACCCTGGTGTCTACAGATTAAGTTGTGTCTATGGTAGCAGTTATATCGGGGAAATGAAACGACATGTCTCGGACCGTGTTCGCGAACACAAGACAGATTTGAAACACGGCAGAACCAATACCTCTGCCGTGGTTGATCACTGTTTTAACGCGGTGGGTTCAAACAATATTGTTTTTTTCCGAGACTAAGGTACTCTGCAAACCTTTGGGCTACCATCAAAGATTTGTCCATGAAGCCATCCGATATATAAAGACACAATTTCAACCAAGAAGATGGGTACAAACTGAGCAATCATTGGAAGGATGTTATTAACCAGGTAAAGTTATAACTTGCTGTGATGTTTCCATCTTTCCTGCCGTTGTTTTACATTAACAGACTAAGGTCTAATCTTTATTTGAAGGTCTCACTAACATAGCCACCACTGCTCCATTTTGCCTGTATGTCTCACTGGCACGGCCACCGATACGGTGGTTCTCTTGCGTTGATACGCAGGCCTCTCACTGCAGCAGCCAACGCCGCAGCTTGTGTTGTCCACGAGGTGGCGCTATGCCCGGTCCTCTAACACAGACATGCTATCTTCCCATTAAACTCGTTTACATTGACATGCCAATCTCTCCCTTTAACGCAGCTGTTGTGTGTGTGGCGACAGGACTCCTTTACATCTCTGTTCCTGCCTACTTATCCTTGGGTGACACCCACTTCAAACCTATATATGGCCTCTTGTTGCAGCAGCCCTTTTTTGTTCAGTTCTACTGCTGTTTCTTTCCACCTGATGACTATTGCTTGTGTTGCGATCAAAACGTGACTTATAATTTATTTTTATACTTACGTGACTTTACCGAAAGAACCAAAGAGTATAAATAACATCAAAATCAATTGAGTGTCCTTGTTGGCACGTGTGTTCTGCTACTGCTGACAGGTGCATTTGGGAGAATTTTATATTTCTCCGATGTTCTTTTAGTCTCGTGCTGATCATTCGTCCTGTTTGCCCAACGTAATATTAACCACACGTGTAGTTAATCCTGTACACACCTTCGGTTGATATATTCGGTAATACATCTTTTGTACCAGATTAAATTCTGTATTTTATGTACCGTGCCAAATCTGACTCGGATGTTTTGTTTTCCTAACATCTGGCTAGTTTATCAGTTACTCTCGCAATGTATGGTATTTTTTATCGTTTTTAATTACTTGGGCAGTTTCAATGCTCTTGTTATTTGATTTGGTTTTGGTATTCAATGCCCTGTTTTGATTTGTGCATCATTGTAACCGTTCATTTGCAGCGCTTTAACATGTTTAATTTCAAGAAGTAAGTGTTCTTTAGACAGTGTTCAGCTAGTCTTGGGATATCTTTGGCTAAACCTTTGTTCGTTACCAGTGTCGTGTAATCTAATTAACTCGTTGACCGGAACCCTTGTGAACAGTGAGGTCACATACAAAACTTATTAGAATATCATTAGGATTAAGCTTAATATATTTAATTATATTTACGAGATGTTCATAGTTTTTGATGAACGAAGAGGTTCGTTACGTATTGTGATAATTTGTGCGTGGCAGAGCCTATTGTACTAACTATGGGTCTTAATGGGACATCAGGTTTGTGAATTTTTGGTAGCCCATAAAGTATTGGTGGTTTTGATGCCCTTGGTTTGATCAGGTTTATCCCAAGGAAGAGCAATACCTGATCAAACCAAGGGCATCAAAACCACCAAGACTTTATGGGCTACCAAAAATTCACAAACCTGATATCTTTGTTCAAGAGAGGGAGCAATGGAAAGGTAATCTAAACAAACTTAGACTCTATCCCCGCGCTCTCTTGCTCTCTGACGTCACCACGACGCATTACCTCATCGGTGTGAGACACCTGGGCGAGGTGTAGGCATTCACACCCCAACCAACCTCCCCTCCATCACGCTTTTGAGCGTGACGCCACATTTTGTTGGTTACTCCATTTTTCCGTTCCAATAAAATCCTTATTTGGGCAAAGTTACGCCCAGTCACTGGTGGCTCGTTAATATAATTTATTCAGTTACATCGCCGCTAATTGGGGAAAGGGAGTGTGTTGTACCCCGCAAGTCACCTGCTACCGCGTGACGTCACGAGATACCAAGATGCTTCCTCTTTGCGCGCGCACTCACTGAGATCCGAGGTGAGAAGTTCGCATCGTGGTGGTTGTTGTTTACTCAGGTAGGGATATCAATTGAGTAGCAGTGAGTATGGAATTGATGTCCAGGTTGTAACATTACAATGCGGGGCCTAGCCATCCGGGGCCTTGCCTCTTGCCCTCGCCTGATTACATTTGCTTTAATTCTCTGCTTAAGTTGAATTTGTCTTCACCTGGCTCACTACTTGGAAAATATTTTATTTTATTTCTACAGTTCTTTTTTATTTTACCAGGCAGAGCCCACTTGAGCTATACCGCTGTTTTTCAGAAGCGACCTGTCCACAACAAAGTGGCTTAACGTTTGAAAATGTATGATGATGTTGACAATGTGGAGGGAAACACCGGAGGACCCGGAGAAAATTTCACGCGAACATGGAGGAAGAGAGACACGCAAACTCCAAATATATATCCATAATACAAGTTTGTTTGGGTTAGATTGTGTAAATATAGAAATGTGTTGTTAAAACCGCCACCACCCGACACAGCCAATTAGTAAGGATTGTCATGTAAACAACGTGGCCAATTCGTCACTAGTACAGCACACCGGTTGTGTGTTGGAGAGCCAAGCCCACAGCATTTACAAACTGAGGACGACGTTTCGCCAGTAATTACAACTAGCTTCATCAGGCGACAGCCAAATGTGGCTTGGCTCTTTGGGAATATAAATCAGGTCGCTGGGATTATCACGCAGCACGCTAACCGTTGCACTCCCGCTCTCCACTCACGCACAAACATTTTCATCAGGAAGTACTCGGCGTCGCCCAGCAAAAGAGACACATGGACTTACACACATACATCGACTTACAAACATCGAATTACATGCGCAATCTTTTTTTCTTTTCACTTACATCGACTCGCACACATCGACTGACACACACATGCACACAACAACCGCTATTTGCCACTAAGTGGCGGTGATGTCACCACGAGGCTTTTGCCAGGCTATGTGCACTTTGAGGCCACGTGAAGTATCGAACGCCCGCTGGCAGGATGTCATTGGGCAGACCCAGATGCCACAGGTCGACTCACTGAGACGACTGGCTGATGCACCACCGGTGCCCCCTACTTTGCCAACTTGCTGTGTATTAGCCACTCGGCGCTCCACTCATTGTTGTGAGCATCGCTTCTCTGCCCTCCGTTGTTGCTGGAGGGCGACTGCCTCCAACTGCCAAGTAGCGTCCTTCACGAGCCTCCACAGAGGCCGATCTTGACACCGCTGGTACCAGTCATTGACAAGTCCACTCAGGTCCACATCCTCCTGTACCACATCACTCTATCTCTTCTCTAGCCCATGCCGCGCCCGTTTAGCCCCCTCGATCCGGCCGAACAAAAGCTGTTTAGGCATGTGGTGGCTGGGCATGACCGAGCAATGCAGCCTTGTCTGCCGCAGGAGCTCACCAATGGTACTTTGTCCAGATCTTTTAAGGATTTGTGAGCTCACACAATCCAGCCTGGTTAAATCCAGGATGGATCGTAGGCAGGCCAGCCTACATGTTTCTAACCGGCGAAGATGTTCCATTAGGGGGGTCCACGTTTACCAAGCATAGAGAAGGGAGGGAATGACTGTGGCCGAGAAGACCTGAAGCTTCGTACGGAGCAACAGACCAGGTAGCTTCCACACAGCGTTACGCAACCGATGAAAAGATCATGCCGCTCCACTGATTCGGAGTGAAACCTCTGCTGTTAAACCGGAGCCTGTCATGAGCACACTGCCCAGGAATGGAAAACCCTCCACACGCTCCACAACTGCCCTATCACCAATTGGGAGTTGTGGGGGTGGAGTGACTGATGGTACAAAATACCCAGGCAGGTGCTTAGTTTTGGTGGGGCTGATGGTAAGGCCCCATCTCTTAGTGGCAATCTCCAGGTTCAGCAGCAGCGCCTCCAACTCCTCCTCTGATTGAGCAGCAATTACCAGATCATCGGCATACATAGCGTGGTTGAGCAATAGGGAGCCATCCCTTGACTGCACCCGGGCATCGATCAGCCTCCCATTGTATCTGTACCAGATGGAAATTCTTCCGGTACAGCTATTGAAGGCTTCACGAACTACGTGGTTGAAATAGATGTTAAATAATGTAGGAGCCAGAGGTCATCCCTGTTGCACTCCGAGGTGTACAGGGAATGTCTCCGACTCCCGGCCAGGTAGTTTTCCCCAGGCCCGCTCGCCATCATGATGGTCCTTAATGATCGTGAGCAGAGGGTCAGGGACTCCAAAAGCACGAAGAACAACCCAGAGGCCAGGCCTACTGATGGTATCATAGGCCTTGACCAGGTCAATAAAGCAGAGATGTATGTCTTGTTGGAATTCCCTACACCTCTGCTGTAGCAGATGGACAGAAAATATGGCATCTGTGCAGGACCGCCCTTTCCTTTTAGGATGACATTAAAGAGCAATTTGTGGGCCATTGAGGCAGACTTCGTCTCCTCAGAAACCCGCGACCACCACCCATCCTTGCAGCGCCTCACGGCTTTCCAAACCTCCGAGCGAAGGCTGCTGTAAGCCTCCTCATTCTCTGATGTGGGATGCTGTAGCCGATGAGAGTGGGCCTGTCGCTTTTTCTCAGCCAGCTTGAACACCTCTTCTGTCAGCCAGGATCTCTGGGGAGGTTTGGACCATGTACCCCAAGCAGTCATTGTAGCTGCATGAGCCACAGTCCTAAACCTTGCCCATTTCCCCTCGACATCAGGAGGAGTGGGGGTTTGAATGGGGTCCTGGGTGTACACCCACCACCAGAGTGGAAGAATGGCGGGCGCATCTTACAAATGACAAGTCGATGGTCAGTGGGCAGATCAGCTCTGCGGTAGGTCCTGGTGTCAAGGACATGGGCCCACATCTGCTGATCCGTCACTATTTAGTCCAGCAGATGTTCTTGCTTGGACCCGGCACGCATCCATGATGCTGTGTGTATGCACCGATGTTAGAACAGCGTGTTGGTAATTATAAGCCCATGGGCTGCACAAAAATGTAGCAGCCTCCTGCCGTTATTCAGCTGATCTGGTCCATGCCTTCCAATCACTCCAGACCAGGTGCCAGCATCATGACCAACTCGGGCATTGAAGTCACCCAACAAGATGACTCTATCCCGAGGGGCCACTTTAGGTAGCACCTGTGACAGGAGGTCAGCCTTGCCTGCATCCCTCCATGGATTTTCGTCTTCGGTGGGGGCATAAGTAACCACGACCACCACTCCTCGCCTCTGGTTGATGGGAAGGCGAGCCCAAAGTAGCCTGGGACTTACAGCTTCCCACACCTTACCGCTACGCTCCCACGCCCCCTTCATTCTTTTGTTCAGGAGAAGAGCCACTTCCCTGTTGTTTGGTAGTCTCCTGCCCCGAGAAGAGGTCTATCCACCCCTTATGGTGGCTGGAGCCAGAGCCGGTCCACCGGACCTCCTGAATACCACAGAGATCCAGGCGGTACCGGTCCAGCTCCCGACAGAGGAGTGGCAGCCTCTTCTCCGCAGAGAGCGTTCGAACATTCCACCTGGCCATACGTGGTAGTTTTTGTTGTTTCTGGAGGATCCCCGAGTGGGGTTTGGCCGGGAGACGTCATAGACGGCTGTCCCCCTGGGGCCTCCGGCACAAGCTTATTAATTAATTTTTGAGACGTGGTTTAGTGGTAATTAATTGAAGGTGGAAGGGTTACCAGCCCCTCACACCCGTCCAGAGCCCCCATTTGGCCACTGTGGTGGTTACGAATGGCCAATTTAACTTGGCCCTCCCCCCACTGCACTGCCTACCACAGCGTTGCCGTCCGGCACCACGTACACACACATCAACTTACACACACAAAGACAAAGATCCCCCATATAGCCTTAACAGACTGTAGGGGCAAGTGCGGTTAGCGAGCACCTATAAAGGCCGGCACGGCACACGAGGGTGGGTGACCAACACCACGCCTGGCTGCCTTTGTCTCCCTAGTGGCGATGTTTACAC